GAGGTGACATCTCGGGGCCAATTACTTGGTCCAAGACTCGCTGAAACGTTGCCGACGCCGAGCGTAGTCCGAACGGCATTACCCTCCACTGAAACAGACCTTTACCTGGTACCGTAAACGCCGTATATTGCTTGCTACTCTCTTCCAGTGGGATCTGCCAGTATCCATCCTTCAGGTCTAAACTGCTGATGTACCGCGCTTCCCTTAGTTGATCTAGGATGTAGTTTATGCGGGGCATTGGGTAGGCATCCTTCACTGACTTCGCGTTGATCTGCATGAAGTCGACGCACAGTCTCCACTTGCCTGTCTTCTTTTTCACCATCACGATGGGGGAGCTGTATGGGCTTTTTGAATGCTCTATGAACCCCATTTGGAGAAGCTCGTCCACCTTTGCGTTGATTTCCCCCTGAATTTTTGGGTTCTTTGGCTAGTATCTCTGCTTGATTGGCTTGTCATCCTTCATTTTGATCTGGTGTTCTGCCATATTCGATGTTCCCGACATTGTGCTGAAGTCTGCCAGCTCTGTTTCAAGGAACGCTGTAGTATCGTCCAACTCGTTTACTTGTTGAACGACTGCTACTGATAGCTTCTCCTCGAGCCATCCATTGTGTCGGTTCCTGGCTGGTATTATTATCTCGTGTCCAGCACACCTTATCTCGGTTCCGACTTGTTTCAGGAAGTTCCATCCCAGCACTAATGGATCTACTACTCCGGGTAAAATCAACAGGCTCATGGTCACTTGTTTGTTGCCGAATTTGACGTCCACCTCGAGCTGCGCATCAATTCAGCCGCACCTTCCATCTGCCAACTTAACTTGCCGTCTCGTCTTTGTAATCCTTCCTAGAGCAGCAATATTGTCCGCCAATTCTTCGCTGACGAAGCTTGCCGTTGCTCCGGTGTCGATTGTGGCTTTGTAGCTGTTCCCACAAATCATCACAGCTGCGGACAACTGCTGCTCCTCCTCGATTAGCTTGCCCGTTAGTTTGGAGAGGTGGCATTGTGCGATCCCCGCTCGCCTCTCTGCGGCTAAGATCGCTGGCCATTTCCCGATCGTTGGCAGCAATCGACGCTCCTAACACCCACCTTGCCGCATATCCAGCAAAACAGCAGCCGCTGGTTTCAACAGCCCAGTGTCCGTTCCCACCGCATTTTCGACAGGCCTCCTGCGGGTCTGTGATATGGGTGGCATCTTGTGGCCTCTGTGTGTTGCTTGGCGGCCTCCACAAGGTATTGTTTGGCTGTCTCTGCTGCTGTGGGGGTGGTGCCCAATGGCCTCCGCGTGGTGCCTCTGTTGCCTGCTGTCGTCTGGCTTGGTGTGGTGGTGACCATTGGTTGCTTCCTCGTGTGTCCTGGTTGTCTGTCTCCTCGCATCTCCTGCATGTCACCTGTGTTGGTGACGCCGACTTTGTCTTTGAGAAATTGTTCTCCTGTGCGAAGACTTCCAGTTCCTTTTCAAGTTCTTCGTACTAATCGGCTAGGATCATTAGCGTGTCCAGGTCCGACACTTTGTATGCTCTTAAGAACATCCGTAGGCTTAGGGTGCAGTTCTCTTTAATGACCCTTAACGTCTCTTTCGTAAAATAGTTAAGTGGCCTCACCATCGTCTGCATGTCGATCATGTAGTCCTTGAACGACTCGCTGAAGCCTTGCTTCCTTTGCCGGACCTGGTCCGCCAGCCTGGTGAAGAAGTCTCTTGGCAGGAAATATATGTGGAAGCTTTCAATGAATTCTGCCCAAGTTCTCCATTGCTTATTGTTGGCGATGAACCATTTCAAGGCCCTTCCTTTTAGCAACTCCGGCATCGCTCGAGGGATCATATCAAGCTCCAAACCGTACGTGTTGTCGGACCATTCTACCTGCTCTAGGAACTCGAATGGTTTTTCCGCCCCGTCGAACCTGAACGACCATTCGCGGACCTGCTTAGCGACCTTTGCATAGTCCGACTAGCTTGGTCTCGGGATCAGCGCTGCTGCTTTCTTTTCTTGGCTTGATTCTCTCCTGTGGGCCTCTTTCTGCATATTGTCAACGCTCAGGCTTGCCACCAGGTTGTCCCCTTCAGCGTTCGTCAACGTAATGCTTGGGCCGGCTCTGTCGTAGTATGTCGCCTCCAGCTCGGCCCAGATGTCGACGAGTTGTGGATCGTTTTCTGTTTCGGAGTAGTATTCCGATAGTGCCTTCCTCATGTCGTCTAGCCTGCCCTTCAGGGCGACGTTGAGCCTCTGTGCGACATGGGCGAAGTCTTCCTTCTTGAGGCGGTAAATCCACTTCTTTCCCATTTTTACTGTGCTATTCTCACTGTTGGGACAATCACGTTGGGCGCCAGATGTAACGAACTAATTTTGTTGTGTCTGCTCGCTACGAGATTCGTGCGGCTAGCTCAGAAGATTGTGTCTTCGTCCCACCAAATGTATATGACGTGATTGCCCGTAGATCAGTGAGAAAACAAAGGGTTCAAATGGTAATAGTGGGATTTATTCTCGTGGTATTAGTACAGCGGGTGTGCGGCTGGGCTGGCTTCGGTATCTCCTGGCTCTGGTTCCGCAGGCTGCTGGCGCTCCTCTTTCTGGCTCCTCGACGCGTTGACTTGTCTTCCTCTGGATCCTGGGTCTCGGGACGCTCGTAGTGGCCGCCTCCGCTTGCTTGCCGACGCGTTGCCTCGGGGTCTCTTGTTGGGCCTTAGACCCGCAGAGAGTTCGGCCTTGGGGGCTTAGGGAAGCGTCACCGTTCTCAGACTAGGGTGAACAAGCCTTGCTCTCCAGGCCGACACCTTTCGAGGCAATACCTGTCCCTTGCTCTGTCCCGGACGGTCCCGCTAGGTTCTTGCTCAGATCGCGCTGACAGTCAAGGCTGCCGCCATGAAGCTGTCTAGCTGTTCACTTTGCTTTACGCCTAGCGCAGACGAACGTTCCACCCGGCTTCACCCTAAAGCGTGACGTCCGCGACGCTCCTGCGCTCCCCAATGAGCTCCGCGCGGCGATGGTAACGTGGCTGCCGGAAATGTCTGCTGGCGTCGCTGTCGATGTCCTCCGCGCTGTCTTCTGACCAGTATCTCGTCGTTCTGGCACTCGGGGAGTTGGGCGATTGCTGTTCGGGAACTTCGCCGGTAATCGCAGGGCTCTCCAGGCGGCCGCCTCTTGAAACCGCAAATCGATCTACCGCTCGTCCGTCACGCCAGGTCCTGCTCGATCGGCCAAGGTACGCTGAGTCGCAGGCAACTTTCCTCCCCAAGCTGACGGTTCTTCGTCGTAGGACTCTTTTGCTTGTCTCTGACAGACCCGCCGGGCGACTCGCCAGGGTGTGGTCGTGACAAAGTTAAAGCACAAACGCCTTGACTTAGCCGCGTGATGCCTTCCAGAACTCAGCCACCTGTGTCTCAATTCGGAGATTCCTGATGTCCCAATCCCGAACGTCTCGACGTGGCGATCTTGCTCCTTGTGTGCTTCCCACGGCGCTGCTTCCGACGACTCGCTTGGTTGTAGCTCCCTCGTAGATTATTTGCTTGACTGACTGTTCACTTGGTACCTTAACTGATCTTGAAGGTTTGACTCCTCGTGATCGACTGATCCAGCTGCCAGCGCTCTGCGGCCTTATATAGGGCCTCCGGGAACCGTTATTTCCCTTTTGCGCACGGCCCGCATGATCTCTCCACTCCGGGTCCAAAGTCCGTGACTCCTGGTTGACCCACTTGTCCTTCACGTACCGCTTCCAATCGATGCTCCGCCCACTGCTGCCATTCCGCTGATTCCCGTGCCGCTTGTGGCACGCCTGTGTGCCGCTCCACTGCCGAGATGTGGCACTTCCTCTCCCGGTCCAAAGTTCACGGGAGAGTCCGAAGTCCGGTGGAGTTCCGTTATCCTGTTTTTGCACACGGCACTCTTGCCTTGCCCGCGAAGTCTCCATTCTCTCTCGATCTCCATGCTTGGCTTCCAAACTCTCTCGCTCTCCGTCCTTGGTCTCCAAACTCTCTCGATTTCCATCCTTGGTCTCCAAACTCTCTCGCTCTCCATCCCTGGTCTCCAAACTCTCTCGTTCTCCATCCAAACTCTCCTCGCCGCGCCGTTACTACGCGAATTCGCCGCGTATCTGGTAAGCGGCCGTCCATCTGCTGCTGCTTCTATTTGTGGGGAGTTATTCAACTCCTCACATTCCCCCCCTTACTTCGGGAAACATTTAAAACTTGTTTCTACTCTCCGGCGTTTCCTTGCATGTCCTAGCCTTCGAGTCCTTGTGATTCCCGCGGCGCTCCCTCGTTGCTCCCTCGATGCTCCCTCGACGCTCTTAACTCCCTTGAGTTTCTAAAGCCCTGGTCATCCTCCTCGTAGCAACTTTAAATCTCCCGCGCCGATATTATCCGTGTTTCCACTGGGACATCGACACTCATGGGCTATCGATCCAGCTCGGTGCTCATTGCTGCGTCTCACTCCTTTCCATGTTTCCTCCGCCTGGTCACACCATTCGTGCGTGTTCGATGTTTATTCGCATATCGATACCGACGGTGCGGCGTTGCCACCTGCTCGTTGCGATATTTCCACCTTGGCCGATTTTTCCAATTTCATGTGCCCATCGATCGCACTATCGTCCAGTGCCAATCGATCGCCTATCGAGGCGCCCCCTTCCCTGGCTCGTGGTGATTTTGCAACTTTCATAGCTAAGTTTTTTTTTGCATTTCTTGCACTCCTTTTCATCTCATCCTTTTCTCTCCTTTCGTCCTCTCTCGCCCTTCACTCGTCCTCTGTCGGCTGCATCTGATTCCATATTGGCAGCTCTCGAGAGCGGGTGCGGAGAGGACTTCGCATTCACTTTGCAACCGGGACAGCGGGTAAGTATTTGATGTTCGTTTCTGCTTCCTGCATTAAGACCCTTTGACTTTCAGGTTGCTGGAGTGGCCCATGCATGCCCCGTTCTTTTTTCAGCCACATCCCCAATCAAACTCTTGGCCCCGTGCCCCTTCTCTTGTTACTTGGGAAACCATTGTTTTTTTTTTTGATTTTTTTGATCGTTTATTTTATTGCGCGAACACCCGGATGCCCGCGACTCCGAGCCTCACCCGGTACCTTCGTCCGCCTTCGCTGACCAGGACGCAACGCCTGCCGCTCTTCCGCCGTGCCGTCGCGACCGCGGGTGCCTCCTCTATTCCCTCCGGCCACTCGCTCCTGGCGATCTTGTGCCAACCGCCTTCCTACGGGGCCGATACCTGCCGCATGAACTGTGGCCGCGGGCGCGTCGCTCCGGGCGTCGAAGTTTGCCGCTGCAACGGAGGTCTTTGGGTGGCCGGTGGCTCGGGCCACACCCTTCCCTTCTCCAGCGATTCCGCCTCTCCCGTCGTTGCTGTCGTCGCCGGTGTTGGCGGGCCCGTGCTCGGTGTCGGCGGGACCCACGCATCCTGCCGGCCTGTCGTCCGGGGATCCCGAGGATTCACCTTGGGTACCACCTCCTCCCATATCCTGGGCTCCTCCTTCGTCGGTACCGTCGCGGGCCCCTCGGGCCACGTTCATACCACCGTCTGTTGTCGCCACCGCACGCCCTCGGCCACGAACGGCACCACCGACGGCTCCTCCGCCTGTGCCTGGTGGACTGCCTCCTCGTGCGGTTGTGGCATCGGCTGCGCGGTCGATTCCTCGGATTGCGGTTGCGCCTACGGTCGCTGTGGCTTGGTGTACCGCGGCGTGGGTGGCCGGAGCTCGGAGCTCCTTCGTCGCTGTCTCGGGCTTCGTCCGCGAGCCACTCCCCCTCGTAGCGGGGAGTGGGTGGCACCTCCGGCAGCCACCGCGGAGGAGATGGCGCGCAGGGCTCGTCCCCATCTTCGCTCCTCGGACTGGGCTCCTCGGCCGCGTACCTGGGGGTGAGTGGAACTTCCCACGAGTCCACCGGTGCCTCCCACAGACGTCGCTCCTCCTCCTCCGCCTCCCGCAGACGGGCACGCCATCGCGCCGCCGCCGCTTCGTGGTCCTGCCGCAGCTGGACCTGCCACCGCGCCTCCTCCTCCGTCGACCGCTGCTGCTCCTCGTCCGACGGCTCCCGGTCCCGGAACCGTTTCCGAGTCTCCTCGGTGGCCCGACAGACATCCTCTGCGTGGCCCCTCGGGAGTTCCGTTCCTCCGACGTCCGTCGTCCCGCGCGGTACCCGATCGCCCGCCGCCGCTTTCCGGAGCCGCTTCTCTCTTTCTTCGACGACGGGATCCCCGACCACCTCCACGTCGCTGTCGGAGCACACCGCGGGTTCTGGTGCGGAGTCCTCGTCGTGGGTCCGCTCCAGGGCCCGCCGCGGAGCTCGGGTAGGCCGGGTCTCCGACCATCCTTGCCCCGGGCGGGGTTCCTGTAGGGTTTATTGGTTTCCTGAATTGTAATGCTCTACCGTCGCCAGGCTCCCCATACATGAAACCTCGGTTGCGCGCCTTCCTTTTGCCCGATACCGTTATGTCCGTTCTTTAGGGCCGTCTTCCCCCTTTCTTCGTAAACCACAAGTTGTACTCCCTCAGATCACCGTAGCACTCTGGATGCTGCGGTTCGTTGTACCTCTCGGTTCCGTAACCAACTTGCTTGAGACCCTACCTTGGTGAGTATCCTTGGAAGTTGTCCTTGGGCCTACACCTTGCTTCGGGGCGTTCCTGGGTGGTATCCTTTGGGTATCCTTGGGGCATTATTGGGGTATCCTTGAGGTGTCTTTCGAGTACTATTGGGGTATCCTTGGGGTGTCTTTCGAGTACTATTGGGGTATCCTTGGGGTATCGTTGGGCTATACCTAGGGTATCCTTCGGGTGTCCTTTGGGTATCCTTCGGGTATCCTTGGGGGATCGTTGGGCTGTCCCTAGGGTATCCTTCGGGTGTCCTTTGGGTACCCTTTGGGGTATTGTTGGGGTGTCCATCGGGTATCCTTAGGGGTATTGTTGGGGTGTCCTTCGGGTATCCTTAGGGTATCGTTGGGCTATCCCTAGGGTATCTTTCGGGTATCCTTGGGGTATCGTTAAGCTATCCTTCCTGTTTGAAGTGATGTGCTTTTGCTACTGTTGTTGTCGACCTTGTCCGTGTCCTTCCCGCCTGACCTAACCACGGATGACTCTGGCAAATGCCCGACGCTGAATCCTGTTGCCTATACGTTACCCGTATCCTTGTGCCGATTTGTAAGTGTCCTTTCCGCCTGGCGTTATCGCGGATGACTCTGGCAACTGCCCGACGCTGAATCCTGTTGCCTTGCGGGTGGATCCCTATATGTAACCCGTATCCTTGTGATGTTTTGTAAGTGTCCCTTCCGCCTGGCGTAATCGCGGATGACTCTGGCAACTGCCCGACGCTGAATCCTGTTGCCTTGCGGGTGGATCCCTATATGTTACCCGTATCCTTGTTCTGTTTTGTAAGTGCCCCTTCCGCCTGGCGTAATCGCGGATGACTCTGGCAACTGCCCGACGCTGAATCCTGCTGCCTTGCGGTTCGATCCCTACACGTTGCCAGTACCCTTGTGATCTATAATTATGGTTGATCTTTCTGCGTGGCGTTTGGATGACTCTCGCTTCGGCCTGACGCATAATCCTTGGGCCTCGCAGTCTGGATTAACGTGAAATCCTTATCCATGTCCTTGTGCTATCCTGATTGTCCTTTCCGTGTGGCGGATGGATGACTCTCGCTTCGGCCTGACGCCTAATCCTGTCGCCTTGTACCTGTCGTTAGACAATTTGACGTTTCTGCTGTCTGCTCGTCATGTTGTTGCTTGAGTTCGCCAACGTGAACTGTCCTTTCTTTCTTCGACTATGTGTGGACAATTTTACAGATCACTGGAGAGACGAAATCTACAACCTGATAAGGGCCATCGTACCTCGGGGCTAGTTTTGCAGCGAATCCTTCAGCCGCTTTGGACAGGTGATGTTCCTTGACCCACACTATGTCGCCCACCGCTGGTGACCATTGCCTCCTTCTCAGATCGTAGTGTCTGGCTTGGTCCTGGGACGCCTTTTCCATATTTCGCCGCACGATCTCGAATACCTCTCTCAGTTTGTTGGCATTTTCCTCAGGGGTCTCCGTAGCTCGTCCAGTGCCTAGGGTTTCCTTATCATATAGGCTGCTGGGTAGACGTGGTTCCCTGCCCTGGGTAAGAAACGCCAGTGTATGGCCGGTGGATTCCGATGTGCTCGTGTTCACTGCTAGCATAATCTCCGGCCACTTCTCGTCCAAGTTTCTCTGGCCCTGCCCTGCGAATTGCACAATCATGGTCTTGACCGTTCTGTTTGCTCGTTCGGTCGGATTCTCTTGTGGTGTGTATGGTGCGTTGAATTGTTGACTGATACCCATCTCAGCCAGGAAAGTTTTAAAGGTGCGGCTTGCAAACTGTACTCCATTGTCCGTTATGACCACCTTCAGGACCCCGTACCTTGCGATTATGCGCTCCCTAAACGCCTTCTTGAGCGACTCTGCTGTCGCACTGCACAGGGGCACCAGTTCCGTCCATTTCGAAAATCTGTCTATCATGACCAGCAGCTTTTGGTTCCCGTGCTTAGATCTTGGTAGGGGTCTAACGAAGTCTGCACATAACGTGGCCCATGGTTCCTCCGGCACTTGGGTCAACATTTTCCCGGCCGCCTGCATATGATTGGGCTTAAACCGCATGCAAATCTCGCATTTTCTTACGTGGGCTCGGGCGTCTCTATGCATGCCTGGACAGTAGTATCGGGCTGCCAACCGTACAATTATCCTCCGGCTTCCTACGTGTCCCGCAGACGGTGCGTCGTGGTTTTCCCTCAACACTGTTTCTCGTAGCGACTTTGGGACGCACATCTTCCATGACGCGACGTCTTCACTGCCTCCTCGGTGAGGTATGTTTCTGTACAGTGTCTCACTATCCATAACATAGTCCGTGTTTGTGCCTAACCGAAGTGACACTTCCGGGTAACACCGCGGGACAAGGGGGTAATGAGCACTTGTCGCTGGCACGGGGACGCTTTGCTGGCAGGACGATCGCGTCGCGGCAATGGTAACGAAGGTTACTGTGATGCCGGACCACAGGCGATGCTGGAGCTGCGCTGAGGGTAAGCTAACGTGGTTAGCTGCTAGTTGAGATAGTGTATTACGAGCCCTATTCTCAAATGTAGGAAGTAGAACCGCGGAGTTAAGAGGTGTGTTGATAACTGATTTATTCTTCATTTGGTACATGCTTATATACTACTTGGAAGACGAAAGCTTAGTGTAATGATTAGTGAAGTGCGCTATATTCTAAAGTAGGTAGGTAGGTCAGGGAGTTTTGATTATGGTAGCAGTTTGTGTAGTTGGCTCGGCAGACACTGCAAAATGTGCTGACTGCATTGGCCGGTCAGTGTGCCGTTGAGTCTGTGAGACGGTGAGTTAGTGAGACATATAATATGCTGATCAGCCATTCTCATATGCAGTGGGTGCTACTGAGCGCCTGGTACTGTTCCCAACTTGGCTACTGCTTGATTTGTTGGGTGTGGTCATGTTGAGTACCTTTCGGTACGAACATTCTCCCCCCCATTGAGGGGTACCCTCAATTAAGTCGTGATGTCGGTCAGCCCTTGACCGAATTGTATAGGAAGCACCTAACAAATCTTCGGCTAAAGAGCTAGTGGGATGGCTCTGAGGGCGCCGAGCTGAAGGCTACCGAACGGGTCGCAGGTTGCGGATAGCGAGCGCCCTGGTTCTCCAGGGTAGCTACGAATAAGCGTGGAAGTTGGACACGGCCCGGTTACCACCAAGCCCCCAACACGAAGCGCGAATAAGTAGCCCCGGACAGTCAGCGGGTATCTGCGCCGTAGCAGTACCGACGTCGCGCTTGTGCTGCCGCCTCCGACAAATAGCTCACACACACCCCTACCCACACGCTCTGTACCTACCTCTTCCCTACCCACACAACTCATCTCACCCCGGGCTGGACTAAGGTGTCACTCGTACCGTGCCGAGAGTCAATCTGGCTGGGAGCCCGAGTCATCAAATAACTCAGTCTCAAACGGTGAGCTCAGGCAAGTGGCGACCGCCTGTTCTAATTCAGCCTTACCCGGGTACGGCGGATCTCTGCCCGGGTGGACCTGTCCTTTCTCCGCAGCTCGTGGGAATTAACATGGAGAACTTAACAAATATAAAACTAAAAGACTTCACAAGACAAGGGCCCGACACTCTTATAAAGTCGGAAGTCGTAACCAACGACGAAAGAAAGAGCAAAATCACGGCTCTGACTACCCCAGTCCACGTGACGTCCACCCCTGCCAAGGCCAGCGAACAACGCAGCCGGCTAAGCCCAACTCGCCATAGCGACAAGCCCAAGCCTTCCACCAGCGTAGGTGTGGCTAACCAGCCACTCCAACCTGAGGGTAGCGCTAAGGCCGGTCTCGTGGTGAGTACCAGGGCAAAGGAGTTTAAGAGGGTACCACCTAACCAGGCAGGACCTCTTGAAAGAAGGAAGGCTTCTAGGATCCTCAAACGGCTGGCCACCAATCCGATACGGGAGGATCAGACATCGAAATTGGATTACCAAAAAATCCAAGAGGACATAGCCTGGGCAAAGGCAATTATCCCAGACTTCGACATCGCTATGACCACCAGCCACAGCAACAAGCGAGAGAGGTCGATGGAGTCAGCTCAACCAGCGAGCAAGAAGGCTAAGGTAACCAACCGCGGCACATGGTCGAGATCCTTTGCGGAAGTGGTAAAGGATCGGAAGATCATTGGTGTCATCGACCAGAGCGTTGAAGGCGGTAGGATCCCACGAAACCAATGGGGTCTGGTTAGACGGGCCCTTGCATCAGTGGCCTTGAAAGTGCTGGACGAAAACCCAGGGCCGCCACCCGATTGCACAGATGCAGGGTGGTACCAGGGCAATGTAAAGTTGATCGCCTGCGAAGACGAGAGATCGGCAGCACTCTACAAGGCTGCAATTACCAAAGTCGGCGAGGTCTACCCCGGGGCCAAGCTGGCAGTTTGTGAGGCTGCAGACATCCCGTCTCGACCGAGAGCGAGGGTGTGGCTGCCGTCGGAACCATCGGAACCAAAGGCTATACTCAGCCTACTGACCAGGTTCAACCCAAAACTTCCAACAGACGGTTGGAAGGTGGTCAAGGTGGAGAAAACCGAGCGAGTTACCATGAGCGTGGTTATCCTCCTAAACCAGGCCTGCTTGGAACCCCTCGCAGCCCAACAACACAGAGTGAACTACGGGTTCGATAAGGTGCAGCTACGCATATATGACACCGATAAGTTGGCGGCAGACAACCTGGCTGCCTGCGCGTCGTACGAACCCCCGAGCGACGACGAACCAGATCACGAAGAGGCCACCCTCACCGGCTACGTGTCAACCGACTCGGAGCTGACGGAGAGCCTGAAGCAGCTGTGCACCCAGGACACAACCCGACCAGGGCGCTCTGTTCTCCAGGACATAGCGGAGGAAGCGGAGGGTACCCAGCCCGAACCCAGTTCCAAAGATGGTGCAGTTTCTGCAAATTAATCTGCACCACAGCAAGGCAGCATCCGCTGCCCTCCTCACCCGCCTGGCAACAGGCAACATAGACGTAGTCCTCATTCAAGAGCCATGGATTGTTGGTAACAACATCTGTGGCTTATCAACCCCCCTATACAAGCTTTTTTACACCAAGGACAAGGGTAAAACCAGAACCTGCATTCTTACAAAGTCACACTTTAACACATTTCTTATTCCACAGTTTAGCGAAGGCGACCTTACCACGGTCAGACTGGAGCTAAACGAACACACCCATCACACCATAGCATCATTCTATCTGGCTCACGACTACGAAGGGCCACTACCAAACACCACTACACAAGAACTCATACGCACTCACTCATCTAAGGAACTCATCCTGGGTGGGGACGCTAACTCACACCACACACAATGGGGAAGTACAAACACCAACGA